AAAAAAATTAGGAATGTGTCAAATCGTATGGTTGCTGTGGATAGTAAGTGTAGGTGGAAGGATAGTGAAGATAGGCAATACAGAAATTGTAAGAATTTTTAAATATTTATTGTCGGGAAATGTCTGTGTTCTTAACTAGTTTTAGTGATAATTGTACCGAAGATGTTTTTATTGTTGATTGTTGTTAATTATAGAAAGTGTCGTTGGAAGGCCTGCTGAAGAGGGACGAGCAAGTCCGAAACACATGTTTAAAGTGTATGTGTTCAGGTGAACTAAATAAAGAACATTATTTTTGAACTGTAAAACTAAATATCTGCATCCATAATTCCAGTATAATAAGTCCTGTTAATATATAGATTGTACTTGTAATACAAAATAAATTTTAAATACAGTTATAAAAAAAAGGACGAAAAAGGCATATTAATTAAATATCTGTGCATTACTTATCAAATGTATCAAAGCAAGCACGGACATGAAAAACCATTGCATGTCCACATTTGCTCACGGTGAGATGTGACGATATTTGATATTAGAATCTATCAGTTTTGTATGGTCATGCTTTCATAAAACGCTATAAATTGGTTCATTTGATATGACATGTACTTATTTGTGATTTGAACTTTGAATATAATTATTTATTGAGAAGTACTGCTGTACTACAAAAAATAAAATCAGAGGACACAGTTTATTTGAGTTTGAACAAAAATCTTCTGTTTCAAGTAATTACATACTGTTTTTTTTTTTTTATCACAGGGGCTGTTGAAATTGTTTGTTAACAAAAGTTTTTATTTCTTCAGATCAGGGGTGTCCAACTCGCGGCCCGCGGGCCGCATGCGGCCCAAGGCAAGTTCGAATGCGGCCCAATAAACGTGTAAACAAAACCGACAAATTGTTTTATTTTATTTACTTTTTTATTTCAATGGCATAAACTCAAAAAAGAAGTTTCACAAAGCCATAAACTTTTATACATATTTTATTTTTGAGTGAAAAGAAAATATTTTCAAATACTTGGAGATGTGTGAATGACGAAGGTGTGTGAATGACGAAGGAATACTATAAAAAGCTGGAGTTGTGACTGAAAGGATTACAGACCCAAATTTAAGAAAAGGAGAGAAAGGTCAAAAGATAAATAGTGAGAAAGGTTAAATAGACCTTCTGTTATGCAAATATTGGCCTTTAATTTTCCAACCTTTCCTCACTACTTTTTATCTTTTGACCTTTCTCTCCTTTTCTCAAATTTCGGTCTATAATCCTTTGAGTTCCAACTCCATCATTATTTAGTATTCCTTCCAGCGTTGCAAGATTTGTCTACTTTGCGCCAAATTTGGCTACCACTTTTTAGTTTGGCGTAAAAATTATCATTTGGCGCATTGACTACTTTTTGGATTACATATTATTTATAAATATATAGTCGAATAAAAATGCACTTTAAAATGGTGTTTCGTCGTTTTTTGTTAATTAGAGACCCAAATAAAACAAATATTTGTGTTTTTCAAATAAATTTTTGTTTGTCTCCTCTATAATAAATGAATTTATCTATTTCTAAGTAAAAATTTAAAGTGTCTGTAGAATTAAGTTTTTAAAATATTCGTTTTCATAATAAAGCTATAATACTTATTACTATAATCTAGACATGTTAATCCTTAAATATACTTGTATATTTAAGGATTAGGTCGCAAATATATTATATATACTTGTGGCCCAAAACACCATGACTTTTTCCAATGTGGCCCAGAGGAACAAAAAGGTTGGACACCCATGCTTCAGATAATAATATGACTGAACCAAAAAAGAAATGTAGACAGTACTACTTGTCTGCATTTCTGCAGCATAAACGAGGATCTCAAGATAACTCAAACAGGGTTATCAAATGTTTCGGCTGCAACAAGATATTCCACTTCTGTACCCAGCTCTATGGACTGTTGTACAAAAATATTTGCTGGCATTTCCATTGTTGTAACTGGTAGAGAGAGGCTTCAGTGTAGTTTTAAACCTGCTTCAGAACAGACATTGATTGCATATCACTGAATGTGGAGATTTGAGAATGCAACTCACTAATTTAAAACCATATATAGATAAACTGTTGACAGATCACCAGGTGCACCCTCTCATTAAATCCAGTTTCCCAAGTTAATTTATTTGGTATTCTTATTTTTATAAATCGGATTAAAATCTTTTGTTGTTGTAATTTTGTTGTTTTATTCTTTCTAAATATGTTCATTTTTTCTCTTCATTTTTATGTTTAATAAAATGATTTTAATATTTGTACTTATTTTGAATTTGCATATTTATTTCATAAATGTCAAAAATTAAAAAACTCTGNAAAAAATTTTTAACGATACAATAGTCTTTGTTAGGCTTAACATCGACGAAAATTCAACGCGAAGCGACACGCAACGGAGAAAAATTTCGACATCGGATACGTTAAACTATTTTTTCGTACGTAAATCAGTTATCCGGACAACCCCAGTCCCCAATTGATTCGGAAAATCGACGCTCTACTGTATGTAGATTTAGTCACTAGATGGAGTCCGCTTCAACTGTCATGGCTGCCGCACTTCTATTGGCCTCAGCTCTGGCTGTAGCACTGTTATTGTCTCGTTGAACGTCATTTAATTTAGCGCCCTCTATTGCCAGTAAAACGAATAATGAGGGATATTTTTCTTTCAGGTAAAATACAGAACGAACATCGCGGGAACGAAGAATACGGGAAAAATTAACATTGCATATATGAGTCGTTATTTGTGACTGGAGGAAAAAAACAAATAGATGCGGGAAAACGATAGATAGAGAATCCACTGTAGTTTCCGTATTTTTCAAATTCATAAACGATATGGGAACAAATTCTTTAACATAAGAGAGAGAGAGATGCGTCAACAACTAAACTGTATTCATATTGATATTTTTTAAGATAAATTTATTCATTTCAAAGTAATATAAAAACTCGCTACTATATATATATATATTATGTCAGTTTATATGTATCATATATATTGTATATTATCTTGTTTGTTTATAATCAAACAAGATAATGTACAATGTCCGTGGTTTGAGATAGGAGTTTATTACAAAGAGATCCTTGGTCTCATCTTTGTAATTTCTATACGTTCGATATGAACGAATGTTTCGATCGGGATGATGATGGATTCACATTCGACGAACAAGTAGTTCATTCCATACAGTGGCGTACCGTGGGTGTCAGCCGCCCGGGGCGGAGGAAAATTTCGCCCCCTCTTATTTAGGTATTTCAATTTAAAAGACCAAAATTCAGTTTTGTCACAGAACAAGCAATGAAAAATTCGGTGGTAGTGCAGCGACCTGTTTAAAATAGTTCTATTGGATATTGGTGGTGTATATGAACGCGAATGAATCGTACAAGAAAAAAAAAAGGTCAACAGGATTTCCTTGAATAAAAAAATTACTAGTTCACCCGGACGGCGAGCCGATTCCCGGACTGTCCGGATGATAGCACTATCGTATGCGCGATGCAAGTATAGATTAGGATGTTTAAATTTTTACAAGATATTATTATTTATTGTGAAATTTTGCCGCCCCCACTAAGGTACGCCACTGATTCCAAATCTTATGCAGATGATGATGTGATAATTGCCCCGACAGCGGCCGCATTACGTAGGAAAATACAAGCATTGAAAGTGTACTTTGAGGAGTTTAAATTAAAAATTAGTTCTACTAAATCATCTATAATATTTAGAAATGGGTCTAGATTTCCCAAGAAATATATGACCTTTTATTTTAACAACGAAGAACGTAAGGTGATGCAGGAAAAGCATAAGTTCTTAGGAATTACTTTGACACCAACTCTTTCCTTTGTAAGTATAAAAATAGCATGGTTAAAGCTAACAATTAATAACATGGAGAAGCTATTTTCTGTGATTAAACTGAACATGTACTGTACGCTAATTTTAATTAAGCTGTTTAATTCTATTATAATGAATGCTGTAAGCTACGCCTCACCGATCTGGAATCTTACTAGTTATCAGAAACTAGACATAATTCAAAATAAATTTATACGTAAAATATTTCTGCTAGAGTATACTCGTAACTTACCTGGAAGCGCACTTAATTTAAATCTATTCAATTCCAGTCTAAGTGCATTTTTTATAAAAAGATGTATTAAATTCCTTTTGTCAATGGACATTTGTTCTGACAACATGTTTCGTAAGTGTAAGAGACTAGTGAATTAAGACAATGTTAGTATTTTCCATAGTGAAGTTACTTAAATAGTGAAGATCATATGTATGGTTTTTTCTCCATACAGCAAAGATGGTAACAATTTATAAATTATATAATTATGCTAAAAAATTTGTTGTAACCTTGCCAGTGAAAAATAAAGCAAGCTAACTGTACTATTAGTAATTAAAAGCAATTGTTAACGAAAATATGTAAATAGTTAAAGATGTTGGAATTGGTTGTGTTTTATTGTTAAAGCTAATGGAGATTTACTGTGATTAGGTATTTAATTAATTATAACACACTGTTCTAACAGGCAATCACCTAATATGAATAAAGTTTTGATTGATTGATTAATATAGTATATTTATTTATTAACAATATGAATTTTCATATCACAATATAGTCTATAATTACATTATAAATAATCAGTCACTTTGCTTATTGGTGCATCTCTAATATTATTGCTTGATTATATTGAAAGGAATTTTTAAAACGGTAGTCAAGTTTTTTTAGATTTTACTTCAATGTTATATTCAATTTGATGTATCACCACTTTCAAATATACTGTTACGTAAAAATATCTTTTTAAATATTTTAATATTAAAAAATCTACATTAAACTTTTCTGCTCTTTGAAAATATTTTCATATGACAATGTAATTCAAAGTATTACATTAAAAACAATTTATTTAATAAATTATACAACAGAAATATGGAATTAATACATTTTTTAGTGAGATAGTTAAAATCCATTGTCTATCCAAATGCTGAGATTTCATAAAACAACTGCAACATGATGGGTTGCTGGCCAGAGCACCTTCAATGATTTACCTAAGAGAAGCGATTATCAAAAAAATTATTTAAATGCATCAAAAATTTGTGGAATGAGTCTACTTATGACACAGTTTTCTCTTAAACTTATTACATACATATTCAAGTATCATTCCTACCTTGAAATACAGCTTCGTTTGTTAGTATATTTACTGAATGTAAAGTTGATGGAGAAAGTAGCCACGTCTTTTGCAAACGTTTAACTGCTTGTTGTGCTGGGTTCCAAATTTCATTCCACCTATAAATTTATTTATTCTTAATATTAGTTTATAAATGAAAATATACTAATGGTCTCGTGTAATTAAATTTTTAACATTTGAATACAAAATCAATTAAAATAAAGGAAATGGGAACTTAATATTTACTCCATTAAAAAAATTAAAGTTTGTACAAATGCAATCATTAAATCTTTTATTGGAAAACTTGCGTAGTAAATTTTACGAATGGTAATTAATAATAGAATCAATTATATGAATGATCAAATAAATACTTTCTGTTTATAATAATCAGTTTATTTTCAATATCAGTTCAAAATTATATTCTCTCATCACAAAAAAATTAAAGCAGTCTATCAAATGATTTCTTGTATATCATAAATTAATGTTTATTGAAAATGTTTTTAGTTTTAAAATGTCAAGGAATTTTTTATCAGATAAATTCACTTAGGAGAGTGCTGGTATAGGAAGAGTTGTTAGAACTATTAGTGATAAATGTAAATAGCTGACAAAGAGAAACATTATTATTAAATTTAATTTTTTTTTATAATTAACTATTATTTTCCACACAATTTTCTTTATAAACATATGAACTTTTAAAATGTTTGTATTGAACCATTAGATTAAGTAAAAACATAGATATGCAAGATATTTATTATATGAAGAATTGCAATTTAAATGAATTTGATATCATCTTGTTCAAGAGTTCCCAAAGTGGTCGATTTGAACTTTCTAGGGGTCAATACTTTCAATAAAAAATTTGGGGGGTCAATGACAGCAAAAATAGTAGTAGTAAGGCAGTATATTTGTTACTTCAAAATATCTATGATTCCAACAGGTATCTAATTTAGTAGTAAAATAATTAAAAAAAAACACTTTTTTTGATAAAAACACATTATATACCAAACTTGCAAACAAAAAGGAAGAATATGTCATTAAAAGAGTCACACATAAGAATGCATGAAAATACATATAGCACAAACATATCTGTGCATTGTATTTAAAATTTATTTTGTATTACAAGTACAATCTATATATTAACAGGACTTATTATACTGGAATTATGGATGCAGATATTTAGTTTTACAGTTCAAAAATAATGTTCTTTATTTAGTTCACCTGAACACATACACTTTAAACATGTGTTTCGGACTTGCTCGTCCCTCTTCAGCAGGCCTTCCAACGACACTTTCTATAATTAACAACAATCAACAATAAAAACATCTTCGGTACAATTATCACTAAAACTAGTTAAGAACACAGACATTTCCCGACAATAAATATTTAAAAATTCTTACAATTTCTGTATTGCCTATCTTCACTATCCTTCCACCTACACTTACTATCCACAGCAACCATACGATTTGACACATTCCTAATTTTTT